GGGTTGGAGCGGAGACTCAAAGTCCATCTATGAACAATGGGACATCTCCCCACAGAGGGGTCGCACGGAGGGAATGAGTCATTCAGGGTGCAGTAGCACTAATGGGTCACACAATATACCTCTGATCCCCTGAGGCCTCCTCACCCCCCATTATCATGACCCCAGTGCTGCTTCCCACTGGACTAGACAGTAGCATATACATAGGTAGATGAAAGAGATAAAACTCACAACACATGGAAACCAGGAATAGCAATGGGAACAGAGATACCAAAAGGGTAGGGGGAAGGTGGGGAGTTGTGGGGAGAAGGGGACACCGATCCCAATGAATGGCACATAACCACACACTGCCATCCAGGAGGAAGAACAATAGAAACCAGAGGGGAAGGGAGACAGCGGTCGGTGTGAGATTTGAAAATAATTAACAATCTACAATCTATCAAGAGGCCACGAGGGTTGGGGGCAGGGAGGGCGGGGAAAAAAAGAGGAGCTGATCCCAAGGGCTCAATGGAAAGTAAATGTCTAGAAAAGAACGATGGAATATATGTACTAATATGTCAGGTACAACTGATGTATGGATGGTAACAAGAGTTGTATGAGCTCCCAATAAAATGATTTTTAAAAAAGATATCTCTCCAATAACATGAAAATACATATAAAGTTAAAAAAATACATATAATGTACAAAATTAATTGTAGCATAATTTGTAATCATAAAACATTGAAAAGTATCCAAGCATAGAAGAAGGATTAAATAAGCAATGGCACATATAAACAATGGAATGCTACGTAGTTGTGAAAAAACAAGGAAGATCTCTGAATAATCAGAGAGATTTTTAGGATACATTGTTATCTAAGAAATAATGAGACATAAAATACATAAGTATTCACTCACTTGTGGAAATAAAAACCAGAAAGGATAAACCAAAAATGAAGAGGTTAGAAAGGGTAAGGAAAGATGGAGGGCAGGAAAACAGGGCAGAACGGATGAGAGTGGCACTTTCTTGAATACACCGTTTTGTACGGGTCTGTCCTTGATGCTTCACGCAAATATATTAATAAATACAATCTAAAAGGTGAAGACTCAAAATGGAATGAAAAAATAAGATATAAATAATATAAGCAGAATGAAAAGAAGTTTGGGGAGAAAAGACTTAACCTATATACGATATACCTTTAGAAAATAGTATTTTGACTGCTCTAAGGCTAAAGGTAAAAAGAACTGTACATATATAAGTTACTATGTTTGTATTTCATAGTTATAAATTAGTCATTATTCAAAACTATTTTATTCATACTTTCCCACTGCCACTGAGTCAACTCCAACTCCTAGCAACTCTAAATAGGGTGTTTTAGGCTGTGCCTAGTCTTTCTCCTGGGGAGCAGGTAGGTTTGAACCACTGGCTTATGGTTAGTAATCCAATACTTACCCAACAGTGCCAGCAACACTACTTATAAATACTCTTAGGATTGCGGGAAAATGACATGATTGTTAGAAGTCAAAATGGGTGCATAAGCAAATATGGTGAAGAAAATTGATGGTGCCTGGCTATTAGAAGATATAGCATCTGGGGTCTTGGAAGCTAACTAGCGGCCATCTAAGAAGGGAAGCAACAAAGCCCACATGGAAGAAACACACCAGCCTGTGTGATCATGTGGTGTCAACAGGATCAGGTGTCAGAAGACCCAAAACAAACAATCATATTGATGCAAACAAGGGGGGGTTGTCCATCTGTAGACAATTGGATACCCCTCACAGAAAGATCACAAGGAAGGGATTAGCCAGCCAGGGTGCAGTATAGCACAGAGGAAACACACAACTTTCCTCTAGTTCTTTAATGCTTCCTCCTGCCCCAAACCATGACCCCAGTTCTACCTTACAAATCCAGCTAGACTGGAGTATGTACTCTGGTACAGATGAGAGCTCTCGACACACGGAATCCAGGACAGATAAAGCCCTCAGGAGCAGTAATGGGAGTAACATTATCATGAGGGTAGAGGAAAGGTGAGGGGAGGAGGGGGAATCCATTTCAATGATTGAGGATGAGAGAGTAGAGGAAGGAGGGATAAAAGAGGTGCTGATACCAAAGGCTCAAGTAGAAAGAAAGTGTTCTGATAATG